AGGCTATCTAAGATGTATCACTGGAGGGGTTTTTCCTTCCAAGATTGCACACTTTGTCCTTTCTGCATTTGCCATCCCACCCTAAGGTTCAGGGAGACAAAAAACAAATCAGTCTGACTGCTGTCCCAAGAAGACTGAAACACACAGAAGAAGAGGGGTCAGAGTTGATGAGACAGCAACCACCAGGACTACCCAGATGTTGGGATGCCTGTGTGAGACGGAGGCACCCATTCCTGCCTGTGCTCCCTAAACCTGGTACCCACTAAAGACATCTTCCACTTATCACCCAAGACTCTCTTTAAAAACATAAACTACTGCTCATTTCCTTTACAGTTCTGGATGAGTAATCCTTAGTCATTTTTACAGAACATTACATTTTTCAACACTCTGTACAAACATTAATGGACTAGTCTTCATGGCGATCTAATTATTATTTTAGATGGGTGAAAGCCAACGCTAACTTTAAATAACTTGCACTGGGCCTTTCACCAAAATGATGTGGGATCAGGGTGACTCTTCCAGCTCCTGCACTCAATCAGGCTGTACTTGCTGCCTGAGAGATTTAAGGTCAGGCCTGAGATCATACGTCAGCCAGATGTGAAAGTTAAAGCGTTTTGGGGTCTAAGTAGAGGACGGTGCATTCACAATGCTTGGTCAGGCCGATCTCCTATATTTGGGACTGTTTTTCTTCACTCTCTGGAGGCCCCTGCTGAGACCTATGCCTCAGTTTCCCCACTTGACAAATGGGAAACTTAACCAGCAGGTATCTTTGAACTGTAGTATTAGTCTTTGGAGAAAGGCAAAGGCTCATAGAAAGGCTTAGAAACTGCTGAATTACTACTGTTAATGAAGCTTCCTCTGAGCAAACCATTCTCCAAGTGATGGTAGAGACTCGTGCAAAGGGGAATAGAGCCAACATCTATTTCAGCTGGCAAAAGCAAGCGTACCAAGATCTCTTTGCTTCTTATAAATATAGAGTATTAACAACGGACAAAACTTGCATAACTACCATAAATTATAGAAGCCTCCCTCAATCTTGGTTAATTCCATTGCAGAAAGGGAGGGAAAAATGTGGAGCAGCATAGCATGAAAACAATTGTGGGAGGGATAATAAAGAGAGAGCACAGAGGTATCTAGTTGCTAGTGCCGATATCATTAAGTAAGTGCACTAGAAATGTCGAGGTAAGTGCATAGCAGTGAATCACAGTCAGGCATGATTAACCTTGGGTAGTCTGAGCTGGAATCCATTTGCAAACACAAAAATGCTGAAGAACATCACAGCAGACAGGACATAGAAAGTCATACCAAGAGCAGAGGTCTTTGGGTGAGTTTGGTACATGTATGCTGTATATTTGAATTACTGTGATATGTGTTGCATGGGAGAGGATGAGCTTTATCAGAGCCCCTGTTTCTATGGCACCTATGTAACATATGGACTGGTTGGAACTCTGTTTCTCAGTGTGGAAGTCTTATACAACTAAAATTTAAAGTCAACATAGTAAAAGTACCCTGTTTATGCCAAACAGAGATTAAAATTCTGTAAACAAAATTCTGATAACAAAAGTAAAGCTTTTTTATATATATATATATTCTATCCTTCCCTGTGAACTATTAAAAACCTGGGAAGAAAATATGAACTTTTTTCAACAAAATCTTGTATTTTTGATATTCATATGACCCATAGAGGGCTATATGTTAAGAGAACAAAAACAACAACAACAAACTCAAATTTAGATTTCTTTTGGCTTTAAAAGCATTCAATTATGAGAAACATGAATCGACTGGAGAAGATTCAGACAACTTAATGCTTCTTATTGTTTGCACCTTTTATTGCAAGTCTTTAGCGACAGTTCATCTGATTATTGAGCATGCTGATTTGGTGAAGACCACAGGAATATCATGCAAAAGGATATAGCTCTACACAGACTTCCTCTGTGATTTTGCATAATTCTCATTCCCTGACATTCATCTAAGTTACTCCTAGTATTGCAATAACTGCCCTTATTTATCTACCTAATTAGGATGTTGCATCAATTAATGTAGATCATCTAATATATACCAGTCTCTTAATGTTTAATATTATTATCAGTGGAGAACTATGTCATGCAGAGGTCTAAGCCAGAAACTTAATGCATAACGAAATAAAACATGCATAATACTATTCAGAATGATACATTTACTGTACTGAGAAAACTCTAAGCAGAACACCACACATGCTGTGCTCCACTTTTCCATACTCTCAGAGATCACAGGTAGTAGTAGCTTTGTCCCTGTGACTCCATATCATATCTTAGTACCTGCTTTTGAGACCCTAGAGCCTGGTGGACAAGCAAGGATCAATCTCTAGAGGAGGAACTTCATGGAAATGCTCAGAACATGAGCGCCTTGCCACCTGATTCAGGAGGGTAATCAACCTGTCTTTTGAAAATGCATAAATAATGTGTAGATGGTGGTAGTAAATCTACACCTAGGGTGAATTAACTGCCACTGAGTCATATAAGTTTGGTTTGAGTGTGTGGCTTCTGACATGCCTGAGGAAAATAAAAAAGACATTTATGAGAGAGAAACATTAATTTGCTCTTCCTTGTCTTTTCTCTCTTATTTTTGCGTAGGCCACTATGACTTGCTTTGTGGGATTTGTTGCTGTTTGCTTCTTTCTTTACAAGGAAATGATGACTCACAGCTAAGTACATTCGCAGTGAAGTCTTCATGACTTTCCATGTTTTTTTCCTAGTGGGGCTCCGCTGCACCACCCTGCCTATGGCAACACCACTCCATTGCGACATCCCTCCAGCACGGTGCCTATTGGACTCCTTGGGCATGTCCAGGGGATCAACACCTCACAAGAGAGTACTGCCTTCTTGCCCTTGCGCTGTTTGTGGCCCCTTGCATATCTCCAACCAGCCTCATGACTCCCTGAGAACCAGGGATAAGAAATATGTCTTAAGAGAAGGTGGAAATCTGAAGAAGCCCAGAGAAAACACACATAGCATAGTAGAAAGAGATTTGGGATATCTGTGTTTAACCAGCAGGTTAAAATGAGTTAATTTGCTTGATTGTAACACTCAGCTAGTGAGTACTCTTTTCAAATATATGTATACTCTAGCTTGCTAATGGTTATTGCCCATTTTACTCTCCCTTCTTTCTCTTTCCAGTGTTGTTTACCATCACCTTTCTCTTTCATTGCACTCGCTTTTATATCTCCTGTAAATTCTGCATTGGCATTTTATTTTCATCTTTTCTGGCTCAACCACTCACATTTTCTTCTTCCTTCTCTGCCACTGTACTTGCTTGTTCCTTTCATGCCTGCCTTCCTCACCTACTTCCTTTTCCACACAAGCCATTCCTCTAATGACAGAAATCTCCATTTCTTGAATGCAGTCATTTATCAGTGGTAACCCATCCTTTCTGCTTCTAAATATAGCGCTAGGAACCAGTACCTGCTGAAGGGTAACCTTTAGCATACGATAACAATTCAAAGAGGAGTAGTAGAAACATGCTGCATGCAATAGATGGTGCACAGTTTAAGAAGCTTGTACTAGGACCTCAAATTAGGCAAGCAGCTTTTCACACCTAATCAGATTTTCAAGTTTGCTGTATTTAGTACAGCACATTATATGACACAACATGTAGTTTCCAGTGAAGGAAAAGAAAGGGAAGTAGAGAACACACTTCATGAATAAAATACCATTTAACTAGCAAAAAAACACTTTGGAGGACTGATTATGTTTTGCATATTGCTAAATATCAGCAAAAATAAATGTGTTCATTTCTCCAAAATACCTCCAGATGGCATTAAAACCCTTCTTCTTTCCCTTCTTTATTGCAATATTATTTTTAAAAATGATAATTATTGGAATTGTTCTATTAACCATTCCCAGCAATCATACTATCAAAAGGCATAAGGCTGTTAATGCTTAATTCATTTAATAAGTTTGGCTAAATACGCTCGCATACTGTAATTACATTCTACAACACAATATCCAAGACAAGTCGTTTCTTACACCATGTCAAATCTTTTTCTAGATTCATTTCCAGGAGATTTTTAATGTGTACTTGCAGCAGAAATCAAAACAACCCCCCATAAATCACTCTTATTGTACCTCCTTCTGTGACTACTTTTGGCCATGTAACAAATGGTGACACCTTGCAAGATTAACATGATATAGCACTCTGAATTTAAATAACAGGACTCAGAAAACATAAATTACAGGCAAGATGCACTCTAAAATTCACATAACTGACTGCTAACAAGAACTTCCCTCCCTCAAATAGGATAGAAAGGGTGAAAGGTTTTGTAAAAATCCTAACCTCTTCTGATCGGTAGATACTAAAGGAATTCTCTTATCTAGATCAGTTTGGGAGACGGATACTATTTATTTATTTTTTTAACTTGTAGCCCATCTGTTTCATGGAGTGGTTTATGTTGGCAAAACAATTCAGTCCTTTGTATTCTAGAGTTAAAAATGTTAAAAGCCTCTATTGTTGCACTAGAGTGAAGGTAAACACTGATATATTACAAGTGCCTGTTCCTATCTATTTCTCGACTTCTTTTGTTAATTCAAAAACATCAACAAAATCGTGAGAGACCAGAGATAGCTGTAATTGGATTTCAAGTAATTCAGAGATGAAGCTGCAGACTGCAGTCTTTTAAAATTACATCAGTACATCAAAGGCATATGTGACACGATGTTTTTTAGCAGCATTGAGGTAATGTTGAAGTCAGGTTGTAGAGGCCAGCCTTGTGCACCCACAAAAATAATTTCCTACCTACTCAGCTTAATATAAAGCTATCTCACTTGGGAAGATCTCTGACTTAGCAGCATGAAAAAGTTCTAGGAATAATTAATGTTGAGTCATTATCTAAAAAGCCTTTTAAGGAACAGCATCAGTGAAAGAGTTTTATCTTAACCAAAACAAACTGACGAATTCTATTTTGCCCAACAAATCTAACAAAAGCACAGTCCCCTTCTTTGGTTAGAAATGCGAAAGTGACTTACGATGTATGGGTTGCACTTTTCTCTGGACTCTTTGGCTCTACGTCACTTTTTCCTTCAAAAGAAGAAGAAAACAACATTAGGAAGGGATGAATGTGGAAACTGCTCAGATGCGACATGTCAAAGCTCATTGCTGACACTAAGTGCTCTTCCCACGCACACAACAAAATGATGCTGAGGCAGCCACCTGGCTGCTGGGGCACTGCTGGAGCATTTGCACGCTGCGAGTCAACCCTGACCTGACTTTTCTTGTCACTAGTATGTGAAATGTCAGCTGAAGAAACTCCACAGGAGAGGCTGCTTAGATGTCAGAAAGCCTCAAGTAATGCCCCCGCGTTAGCAGGGATAACAGCCTTTGGGTTCCTTGGAAAAAGATTTCTCTTGGGCTTATGGCTCTGCTATATGGGTAGTGCATGCAATATGTGCACACTCCCAAATGTTCCGCTGGGAAGGGTGAGAATTGCATACAAAGTGGAGAAGCGTCATCAGTGCTACTAAGTTTTCAGGTAGGAATTACTAAGGCCATGATTAGAGGATGCAATTGTAAATGGATGCTCCGGTTCACATTGTTTTTGACAGAGTAAAAGTCCTCTCTTCAGCTCTGGTAAATAGGGGCTAGGGAAGGGAATAGGGGCTTTTCACTCTTTTGTATGAGAAAACATTAATCTGGCTTAGGTTCCTGACCCAAAAATATACCAGGTACCCAAATGCTTGAGAAATATCAGAGGCCTGAGGGATGCCTCTTCATGTTTGTTCATGACTCACTTATGTGGGTCCTGGCATAGCATGTTGGCCTGTGGTGATCCCCTTTGGGATCCAAAAGAATATCTGACAAACACAACTTAGCTCCACACTGCACACACAAGAGACCGCAAGGCCACTGGACGTGGTGGTACTGCTTTTGTTAGATCAGGCTCAGAAACTCTTTCTGCCTCTTTCATCCTGCAGAAGAGTATTGCATTCTGTGTATTGAATTTTGTACCAAGGATCTGTGCAGCTGCCGCTCCTCTCATGTGTGGCTGAGTGCTGATAGCTGTCTGCATAGGAGCTGATGTTGCTTGGCAAAAAAAGAGGCACAGAGGTTGATCATGATTAGTTTTTTGCTGAATATGGTTTTTTCTCCATTATCTTTTTATAAGCTTTTTTCTTTTAAATGTGTCATCTGAAAAGCAATGTGAAAATAGCTGAATAGCTTACTTGTGTTTTGGTGTACTCTTGTCTATTTTACTGCTTATCAATTTGCCAGTTGACTTGAGTGTGTTTTGGACCAGCCCCATGAACACAAGCATTACATATCCATTTGTTGCTGGCGGAAGTCCTCAGCCTCAGTTTTCACACACTCTTGGAGGGCCAATATTCACTTCCAGAAAATTTCGGCACAAGCTCGACATCCGCATGAGATGTGATACATAATTTCCAGATCACATTTCTCTTTTAACAGTGACCTCAGAAAACATCCCCGTGCAAGAAACTGACTGGTTAGAGAGGTGATGCTTCGTGACATATTTGTCAGGTGTAAGGGACCTGGTGCTTTGGAGCTCCAGGGCATTATGGTAATTTGGAACACAAAACCAACAGTAACATTTGGCGTTTATTTTCAAAGATTTTCTATTTGTAACTTAGACTTTTTTATATATCAATTATGAATTATTACCATGAACACTGATTTGTTTGTGTGTGAGGAGGAATATGGGTTCCTGAGTGCTTTGCCAGCAGAGTTCACATCAGTCCTTCTTTAGCAATAGATGTTGATGTAGCAACAAGAGAAAGAGACTAAGTACCACAAGGAGAGAGAAAAGGCAAATTTAGCCAAACTTGATATTAATGAATTACTCTACAATAAACATCTGCAGCTGCTTTTCTACTAATAGTCACTTGACATACTTGTGAGAGAGAGAGGATGAAACTCATAGAGATGTTAGAAATGCATCAGTCCAGCCTATCTCAGTAGAAAATCTGGTCATTAATGCTTTATTCGTTCTTACCAACTTTGTTTGTGCTTGACTGAATCACAGCAATTTACAAAATGGATAGAGACTAAGCCTGATGACTGTCATAGATAAGGCACTGATATGAATTTGGTTAAGCATATGTAAAAGGGATTTATCTATCACAACAACTTGGCTTTTTTACACTCACTCTTGGCCAGACTAAGATTTGTTTTCCATTTTTCACACGATTTTTTCACCAAATGCATGATGGGACCATTCTGGGAGGCTGGCATTTGCTTAATACTAAATCCTCTGTGGTCCTGACTTACTTTTCAGGGCAAATTTGTGTGGTCCTTTGTTTTTCTTAATCTTACTGGAGCTGGTAAAGGATATGCTACCTACCTCTCCTCTTTCACAAGGCAGCTGTTAGCAAACTTCATTTCAACAAGAACTAAGTTAAGAACTGTCTATATGTGCCTTCTGAGATAGGTGTGCGTGTGTGTGTGTGTGTGTGTACACATGCATTCACCCAGCTACACACGTATCTGGTGGAAAACATCAGTCTTCATATGCTTAGTCAAAGACCTGGGAATTCTTTGCCAATGTCTACTACATCCACAGAATTAACTTCTTAACATTTTAGATGCTACCAAATTAGATGTGTCTCGACTTACCCAATTTCAAAATAAATTTCCAGTTAACTTATTTTTGGTAGGATTTTCCTCTTGAATAGGGGTAGGCCAGGGAAGTTTTTGCCTCTGAATTACAATTTGGGTGAATCACTCAACCTGATCAGGCCAACTATCCCTCTCTGGGTAACTGGGATAAATATTACTCCATCTTAAAAGGATGGTATAACTTTATCCATTGAGAGTTTTAAAATGCTCTAATTTCCTTGTTGGGGAAGGATGAGAGAAATGCAAACATTGTTTCTGAGAAAGACAATGTTTGCAGTTGGAGTGAAAACACTACAAATGACGCACTCAAGAGCCACTCTAAAGAAGACATGGTGCAGTGGGGAATAAGAGCTAATCGGGACTCCAAAGATGTGCAATCGCATAATGTAGTGTATAGACCATTAGGAATCTTTCCCATAGAGTCCTTTACCATTTCCCCAAGCTCACTTTTTTTTTTTTTTTCCTGGAATTTGCACTGAGTTTGATATTCATAACTGTCAGAGTCCAGGTCTTATTCTACCTTACTGTGTCTTATTTGACATATTATTCCAGCATCTCAATAGGAATCACCCTTGGATATGGGTCTCAGAGAAAAATTCCTTTTCTAATATCAGGAAGAGTGCTGACCGAGTGGAGGACAACGACCCTAACTTGTGACACCAGTGAAGAAATGGTGTCAGCATGAGCTCAGCAGATCTCTGTGGCATTTGGTTCCACATATGTTGGTTTTGAGGAGCAGAGTGACTGGAAGCATGGTCATGCAGGCATGACCAAAGCCATGCAAATGCTGTGGCCTTCTGGTGTCACCGCAACCCCCTCCGCTTGGCTTGTGTCTGTATCCTGCTCACAGCTCTGTGAGTGGTCAGGGAATGAACAAGATAGTGCTTTGGATTGAGATGATGTTGTGTTGAGAGCAGGAAAGGATCATGTATTTTTAATATGCAAGACAACATTAGCAACAGTCAGATGTGCCAGGGCAGAGGATTAATACTTTGTATCACAGAACATTTAAATCTCTCCCTTTCAATACCTTTCAATACAGTTGCTTTTTTGCCTTTTTTTTTTTTTAACCATAACTAAATGTAATTAAAGTGATGTTGATCGCTGGAGCCTGCGGAGGGGCCCGAACTGAGAGCTATATGAACACCCACCACCACCACCTTCCCACACTACAAGTCAGAAAAGTCCCCACAGCCACATGGATTTTGAGACATTATTGGCCATTAGTCTGCCAAGAACTTATTACAGTGTAATAGACACAAAGTATACCCTTGCCTATGAAAGATAAATGATGAGCAAGTATTTTTGCAGAATTTTATGGCAATCTGGATGTGGCAGCGCCCAAAACCATACAACTCGGTCAGTTCTTTACTGGCATTCTAGAAAAGCCGCTTTTCTCCCTTTCAATCTGTCCCATCTAAGGCAGAATTATACCTAAGTATCTATGAAGACACTGATGTTCTCATGGTTGCCCTTGAATCCAGTTCTCCCAATTTGGCTCAGACTTTGCATCCTCCCAGTCTACTACTGGTTCAATACTCTGACATTCACTTGGCTTTCATAATCATTGCCAACATCTCCCTAAATGCAGCTGTAAAACAAGGCAGTACGTACTTGTATTGCTGTGTCCTGTGGATCCCTGTTGTGAGTCCTGCAATAACATCAAAAAAAGTACAATATATTATTTTAAGGGAATTTTTAGCTGTAATACTTACTTGAACATTACCTTAACAACAAACACAGCATTGCTAATTGTTCATTCCATTAAAAAGCCATTTCCAATTGCAAGAATAAAGCCAATATTTCTTTGAAAATGTATTAATTCTAAAGCTTGTAAACTGATTTCATGACAACCCTTTAATGGTGCAATTCCTTGTATACCCATTACCTATTTCCTGCTCACTATTCATTTATTGATCAGCCAAAACTGGCCTACTATTAGAAGTTTAGATGAGAAGGCAGAAGGAAGACCAATATTGTTTCATGGGCCATTGGATTCTTGAGGTAGTAGCACAGCTGATCTTTTCTTTTCACATGTTGATATCCACATCACTGGAGAATGGAAATACAGGCTTTGGTTCTGGCTCCCTGAGGTTACAAGGTCAACCTTGTGTAGTATCAAAACTACAATACTAATTAATGCGGTGCAATATATTAGACCATATTTTTCTTCATATATAATTGCTCAGGTATTGCTCACAGAATTTGTTTGTATTCATAAAAATGTAAAGGAAACATATAAATTAAAATGCAAATATAATAAAAAGATAATTAAAAAGAAGAAAAAAAAAACAAGGAAAACAATCAAGTAAACCTACTTATTCTCCCTTATCTGAAGAAGAAAAAAGAAAGAATGATACTGTAGATATTGAAAAAATTGGATGACATAAAAATCTTATCAGAAAACACCTGACCTTCAACTATATCCTGTGTGTCTCAGTCTGGACCCTGGTAAACAGCCTAATATTTGTGATTTCATAATTTTATCTCAAACGAATTATTAGGTGTTTTATGAAGCTTGTTGAGAAAACATTGCTGGTAATCTGTCCCACATTAAATCTCCAGACTTGATATGTTCCAACCTGCTTCATCTTAAACAGCACTGTCCAGTGGTGGTCAACTTTTAAGTTTGAAAGTAAGAAGCACTAGCCTCACATTAATGGTAGACATTCACTACTTGGTATTATTTCTATTTCATGTTAGCAGCTCCTCTCACTACTGAAAACTGGAAACTCAGTTATCACAAAATCAGCACAGAATTGACCATTTTTAAGCCACCTATTCCTCTGAAATATTTTGAATACCTCTCCTGTGCCCCTAGAGGGTTTTAATACAAACACTGACCCAGTGCAGTGCTTTCCACTGTGCCAGAAGCCGAGCCCATGGTGCCACGGGTTATGGAGGGCAGCCTGGAAATTTCCCATATGTGACTCTGTTTTTGAATAACATAAATATGCACATGGATACTCTTTAGCATGCAATTATGATAGCAGAGACTATTCTGACTGGGCAAACACCCCTCTGCAACAGGCACCTTCATTTTCAGTGAGGAATTGGACCTTGGACTTGATGGTTGGCCCACAGAGGCTCAGCACACAGCCAAAAGCAGAGACTTTAGGCTCTTATTTTTATACATGTTTATTCATTTATATTTATTCATTTTACTTCCAGGTAAAAACTGCTATGTGTAGATTTTTGCTACGTTTTGAAGAGGGAAAGCAGTTCAGTCTGTAACAGAAAGTCTGTAGCTTTCCTCAAGGTAGGAAGCCCGGAGACTTCAGAATTTACGTTGCTCTTAAATTAAAAAAAAAATCATAAGAGCATAGAAAAAATATGCTTAAAGCAATTCTCTTCTCTTTTGCTTATCCTCTAATGCCTCTCTGAGCAATCTTCTCGCTGGCTCAGCAGAGCCTGTAGGTTCAGGTAGAGATTTGAAGAAGGGGATGGGAAGCCCCCAGAGAGCTTGATTGCCCTCTGGCCTGGATGAGCAGAGATTTTATGAATGAGTCACGTAAAAACATGCCTTGAACACTCTGGGCCCCAAGAGTTTCTTTGCACCTTTGAATGAAGGTTGACTGGACTGAAGGTGCTGAGATCTCTTGTGCCTGGCCAGCAAATTCCTTCTAATTGCACTGTCTGCTTTGGAGTCAAAGCTCTCTGGGCTGCACTATCTGTAATTTATATGTCTGTAATACACATCTGCTATCAGCTGCCATCCTACATGGCTGAAAAGTGAGATATCGAATTTTTGGACAAGTCTTGAGAGTTGATACCTTCATTTATAGTAGTAAAAGACCTGTACCATGTCTCAAATCATGACAGTAATTTCCCAATAATTTGAAATTGTCTACTTTTGACAAATTGTCTCAGGCTTTTATGATTGCTTCTGATGAAGAGATATTAAAGCCTGTCTTTTTCTGGTGACTGAATATAATCTTAAGAAGTCTGGATCCTCTTGCAATAGTGATGTGGCGACATACACCCTTGAATTTGAATGTTATTCTAGCAGCCAGCTCAACTGCCAATAAGAAAAATAGTCTATTAGAACAAGGCCAGTTTCAGAGTAGAGAATTTACGAATCTGTAGATGATCGGATCTTTTTCTGTTTTGGGGGATAGAATTATTTGGACAAATGCAAACTCAGGTTTGTAAAAATGTTTGAAATATTTGAAACACAAGGCTCTCTCTCACCATTTGTAGGTGTTTCTTCACTTTCACTGCTGAGGTACCCCACAATCCTCTACATTTTCATCAGCCTGGGGGAGAATATACCCTCCCCTTTGAATTGTCTACCTTAATTCATCATGCAATATCTTACCTCTGCCATTGAGTCTGCATAGTCTCAGACTTGACATCAGCAAAATATACGAGCTACAACATTTTCATTTATCCTTTTAACAGATTCTTTAAAATTAGTGACTCATTTCTCGACAAATTATCCTTAACGATAAAAGGTAAAATAAAAATGCTACAAAGAAATAGAGAATGCATGCACCCACTGAAGCAGGAAAAACTATGCCTTTTTATATTTTAAAAAGAAAAGGTAGCTATTTCACTTTTGGAGTTTTTTTATTGTTGTTGTTGTTTTCTAATGCATTTGCTAGAGTTTGATAAAATAACAAAGAAAAAGTAAATGGATTGACCACTGAAAAGATAATGTTAATATTATAACTAAGCTTTTACTAAAAATAATTACTTGATACTTTTGTGAAAAGACACTGTTTTTCCTGGAGTGAATAAATTGATTCTCAGTTAAAAAAAGAAGGATAGCGGACTCTGTAATATCACACAGACATAAACAGAAACCAAAAATCAGATCAAGCTTTCAAGATACAAAATCACGGTAAAAATGAAGAAAGAGCAAATCGGGCAGCAGAATTAACAGCATCTCTTTCCTATACAAAAGTAGAGAATTACTGCCTGAACATGAAAGCTCATTCACGCAAGCATTAAATCAGCTCTTATTTGCCAAATTTAATTATTCATTTAAAGTTTATTTATTAACATGTTTGTAATAAAATTACAATCAAATAATGCCTAATCATTTATACATAACAAAGTGTGACATAGATAGGAGAAAGGAAAGCACATAGAGCACATACAGATTCAATTATCCTTTAGCTTTGACAAACAAGAAATCAAGAGACCCCTTCCTAGTAAATTCAAGAGTACAAATAAATTCTGCAGAGAAAAAAAAATCAAAGTTAAGAATGAAAAGTAACTTTATGTCCTCTATCATATAAAGGATAATTCCTTAAATACACTTTCCCAGCAGCGTTGTTCAGGAGAACCTGCTGGCCATGCCACACATTTCACTCTTGACACTGCCCTTCCTCCCACTGTTGTGAATTAATGTATACCTCCAATGTTAATGGAGATCTATTTTTTTATGCATGTACAGCATATGCACATGCATCCCCACCCACCCACATAGAGAGACCATATAGTCATATAAATGAAGATATTTTGAAATATGCATGATTATTATGTTTGTGATATATGAAACTCAGTCATTTACCTTTTTTCTTTTTTTTTTTTTCGCTAGACTGATTTCAAAACCAGTCTGGCTGTTGTTGCTTTGGCCTCTGCAACTTTAATAGCCTAATTAATAAATTTCAAGTTTTAAGCTGTCAAATCACTAATTAGCAGAGCTGCAGGTTAAAAGTGGATTGGTATGTGTAAGAATTAATGATGCTGATCCTCAGTTTTTATAGTCAGAAAAGTGAGAATGATTTGCATCCTTGCAACAGGCTAGGAGTCCTCTAAGCTTCTGTTTTTCTCATTTCCAAAACTGTGAGTATTCTGGCACCTGGGAGGCTTTTTTGTGTTAATGAAGGGTTGCAGCCTACTTGTTCCCCTGGAGCTGGCTGCAAGAGTCATTGCAGATGAACTGAAATGATCTCTTGCACTTCCACAAAGAAATGAATTCACAGTATCATGCACTGCTTGGAACTAAGAGATGGAGCCAATGCACTGAATTCAGTATTTTCACATCTTTGCTGGCCTTTGCCTCTATTTGACTGACAGAGCCATTTCTGTGAATAACATTCAATGTACTGTGGCTTGGTGCAGTGCACAGGTTCTAACAAAAGAAGTTGGGACAGCTCCATAGCTTCTCTGGGAGAAAGAGTCCTAAGAGTTATGAAGTCAACCCCTCTGAGATTCAATAAGTGTGGTGTTACATCACACTTTGTGAAATGCAAATAGCTAGTTTTTGAACGTTTTAGAAACATGTTTGAAAAATTATGCATTTTGGAGTCTGAAAAGCAGATGTCTTCCTGAACATGTGACTATCCAGGACCAGGTATTTGGGATTTTTCCATAATGCATGTTAAATGCATGTATATATATTATCATATGAAATCTGGTCCATTTAAAGCTTAAATAAATGGAAATTCTACTTTTGTAAGAGAAAATGAAACTATCTGGAAAAGCCTCATTAAATGGCTCCACAATTTGATCTGCTAGAATATTTCCCAGAGAGATGGATGAACAGGCAGAGAGAAGATGAGATAGCCGATATCACCACTTACACATATATCTTTGGCCTGTGTGCTGCGACTATATTATTGCTCTATTTATCATGATGCATTTAGTTGTGAGGCATCCAGGAAGGCCAGACAGATGTGCTAAGAGGTGTACGCCTTGCACCATAAACATGCTTGTTCATGTGCCCCACAGACGCGTCCAGTGGGGTTCACTATGGCAGAGCTTCACTGCTGTCAGGCCCAGCTGACCACTTCGCCTGCGAGTGAGCTGCTGACCCATCTCCTGCTACACTTACCAGCCCCCTCACCATCCTCAGTCAATTGCCTTCAATGCACAATCAGCTATGTTCTTTCTTTTTCTGCCATAATATGATGGAGATATTTTGCTTTGTGCCCCTGCTGCTTTAAAACCATGACATAGTCATCCATGGATAAGCTCTTTTAGCCCATGCAATCTGTAAAGGTTTTTTGGCCTTGCAATTGTAATCATTCCCCTCGCTATAAGCTATGGAGTAGACTCTGTAGACTCTCTGAGAGGCAGGGGATACTGGCACCCCCATGGAAAAGGTCATCAGCACTGCGCGGGTCTCGGTGTAGGGCCAGCACTGGCTTAGTCACAGCTCATGTAGGACATCCCGAGGCGGGAGAGGCACAAGTCTATGTTATGCTGCATGTCTTACCTTGTTTGGGAAGGGAAACTTGCTTTGCTCTACCTTGCCTGGTGTATGAATAGCTGACAGCGGTGGAGGCCAAGAATGGGTCATCTCCTGAAAAATAATATTGTACAGCAAACTGTATTTAGAAAGTCAATGGAATAAGAGACAATAACAGTATATCAGCAGCATGAATGTCTGGGCAGTGAAATATTTAAGTCACTGTAGCTTCTAGGAAATGCCCAGTTTACATATAATCTAGACAACACAAGAGCTACATTGATTTTTATCACAGACTCTTGAGAGCAGTTCTTAAACACCGTTTCATTTTCCTGAACGGTTAATGCATCTTAAGTGCAAGAAGTTTGATTTTTCTGACAATCTGCAACCATATTTTAATCAGTCAGTGTACTCTCATTGGTGAGAATAACAGAAGATTTTTTTTGTCTAGCGGTATCGGAATAGAAATTTCAGTTCGTGACCAAGTAATGGGGTGCAGAGTATGGATTCATAATAAAATAGATTTCACAGACCAGGTCGGAATGACAAATGCTTAAAATCCTGAGCTTGATCAGATGTTTGTTCATGAAATAGCCTTATAACCTTTTTTCTTTTTGTTGTAAAGATGTTAAATGAGCTTCTAACTGCCACTTGTTTCTCCCCCTCTCTTTTTTGAAGGACATTTTTTATTAGCTAAGTGATTGTATGCAGTCATTTTTGACACTCCTTCAGGTAGGCCACCCCGTTCCTTTTCAAGCTTGAATGATTTGGTCTCCAAAGCAAAGTTGCTTTGGCAGGAGTGAGGGGCTAGCTGATATTTATAAACCAAATACTTCAGATAAGAGATGACTTGATGAGACACGGCATTCATATTCCCCTCCAGTGTAGCCTGTTATCGGTTGTTTTTGCAACATGTTCAGCAGAAACGAGCATAATATTTGGCATATGAGAACTCAACACAATTAATAGGTGAAGTAATGAGTGTGAATATGAATATGAGAACCCTGAACAGTCAGTCTGTAAGTTTCAAGAACCAAAAAGCAAACAGCATCCTGCCTTATTATGGGCTCACTGACACTATCAAGAGTTTGTCTGGCAAATGCTTTGCCACTTTTTTTGTATCATTAACTGACTGTGGGATCATTTCTCAGGAATAGTCCATGGAGTTGTGCTGAGATCTATTGTTAGGCCCAGAATAATATTGAATCTGTATCTCCATGACTCATTTCTTTGTAAATAGATGAGAAACATTTTTTTTATCTGAAAAAGGTGTATGCGAATCTCTTGCTCATCCTTCATCAGTACTCAGGGAAACACTTCAGAGCCTTCACGGACTGAGCTGGGGCACTTTTTACAGAGTCGAAAGTCTCTGAGTGTCCTGCCAACAAAAGGATCAGCCCTTTTGACATAGTTTATTAGTAATAAATGTCACCTCCAAAGTATTCTTGATAAACAGCTTAGTTCCCAACAAAAACTGCATTCTTTTATTTTATTTGAGGCTAAAAAGTTACATGATTTATTATACTTCTGTAATCTATGTGGGTGCCTCTAATCAGAGCATCTTCTGGTTTGCAGTTTCAATATCAGAACTGCTTTGCTTTTCAGTTCTTTGAGGCAGATTTTTCATCTCGCGTATCTGGTAAGTGCCAACTACAGCAGTACATAGTAATCTTTAATATACAGTAAGTTCTTTAAACACAGACAACCAAACCCAGGCCATCTGACATTTGGAAGCAAACAGTCCTCCTGCCTGATACACATGCTGTCATTTCCAAATATCAATGAATTACACGTGGAAAAATATTCCAATAATAAGAGGCAAGTTGATAGAAAGATCTGTACTACGGATATTTAATCCTAAGGCCATGATCCGAACAAGGCGAGCTTTCTCATCTATGGCAAAACTTCTTTTTCTTAGTTATTATTATTATTTTATTTTTTCAACAATGGGACACATACAGAGTAAAGGTGTTTCCACCTGTAAAATCCCGCTCCTGAAGAAGCTAAATGCTTTTCTCTACAAGACGGGATGCTGAGTCAAAACTTTGTGTAAGAATGAACTATGCGGCTCTTTCTTTTGAAGAGTAATGCTTTATTTTAGTTCTGTCCATTGAAGGATCAGGACAGCCAGAGTGGGAGCTTCTCGTGGCTTTGACCCAAAGATACCTATGTCTAAAATATGCTATTAAGTACTTATGGTTTCCAATTGCCCAAGAAGCAGTTCCTCCAGGTTATATGATTGCTGACCTCCACTGTCACCTTTATGGAAACGTCTTCCACAAAGTGTGCTCTATGCCATATAGAAACCAATCTGTTACAAGAGGAGAGCTCAGTCCTCCTCCCTTGCCTGCCCAGGTCTGACAATGATACCTCTATCCGTGGAAGGGACGACAGTGCTGATTAAAAATAAGAGTGACCTTTTTCTCTGACATGTCAAAAATCTTTCATTTCTTCTTTTCCACAAGATTATTTCTCATCCATACTTCAATGAAATATGACCTTAATGGTCTTTTCTTTTTCTTTCCAGCTAGTTTCTCTTCTCTATTTGCACTTTGAGTTGTGGTATATAATAAAGCTCTGTACATAATTTAAACTTGATGTAACCCTTTCTGACACAAAGATTTAGTAAGACCACAGATATTTACCAGGGTTAGTAATTGCCATTATCAAGAATTATCACCTCTCTGAATGTGAATTTGCTGGAACAGTATTTTGAATATGCTGTATTTATCACTACCATTTAGAATTCAGGCAATTTAAAAATGAACTAGAATTAGAAAACAATAAATAAAATATGAGAAAACTTTTAAAAAAAACACTCAAAAAAAAACCGAACTACAGCTCTTTGCAACTGAGTAGTGGTAAGTTTTAAAGGTAATATTTTTCAAAACGAGAAACATTGAATTGTGTACAGTCTCCTTCTCACTGCCAAGAACAGAATCTCAAAAACAGGAAAAAGCATTTAGGCATCCTGCAATTATCAACACTTTGTAAGGTCAGTGGCAAGCAGAAACAAATCCAGAATATGGCCTGATGTTGCCAGCCCTTGTGATTTTTTACTCTGTATGAAGACATTTTATGCAGATTAAAAGCACTAGCGGTGACATATCATCTTTTAAGTAGGTAGTGTGAAATTTGTTTGAAAATGTAAGCTCAAAGGGTAACTTCTTTCTTAACTACCTGATGAGCTAGCCAGAAAGGACTCCAGTTTTACTGCTGAAACAAAATCTTATACACAGCTTCTATCTCTTCTGGTCAGCTAACTTATCTATCCTTGGTTTTTGAGATTGGCAGTTTTGGCACAAAATACCCTTGGGACTAAAAAGAATACTTTGGATGCCTTGTTGAAAGCCACTAATAATTAACATGTAATGTATAAGACCTCTGCACTTTGAAATTGGTGCTAGAACACCAATTTTATTGATGCAAAAGATTTTTGGAATCAGAAAGAGAAAAAAGCAGGTTTTTTTGTATCATAAATGAATGAAATATAATTCTGAAACATCCAGTTCCTGCCATTACAAGATAATGGTCTAATTTTAAAGCAATAGAGATTTTCCTCCCAGTCTGGTCGTTAACTTTAAAGTCCTAGAAAATGTTAATGAAACCAACCACTAAGAAATCACTTGGGGTCCAGAAGTGGGAAAATCAAAGATTTCTAGATCTGAACAAAGCCCCGATTAGACCATTTACAAAATGCATGAGCACACGTGTGCTTAACTTCAGGCCAGTTTACTAGAGTTGACTGTCATCCTCCTCCCATGGCCTGATGTTTAATCCAAACGTTGCTTAGATGGTGTGAGATGGCTGTTTGGGCCAACATTGCTTGAAATAAAGTGGGCAGGGATAAAGTAGTAGGGATTTTCCATTGGGCAAAACTCAGTCCCTCACTAGTGGAGGGATATTGGCACTGGGTGAGGGACGCAGGAGGTTTGACTGGACTCATACTCAACACCATCCATAGTCACACATATTGTGGGCAGAGAGCTCCATGTCACCTTTTACCTCCCTTGTGGGCTAATGGCTCAGAGAAAATACACCTGGGTGCCACCTAAATTTCAGTAGACTTCTGTACATTCTTTTAAAATTAATTAATTTATTTTTTGGACCCTTGCTTCTCCCTGTGTTACAGCTCCATTGTTTCAAATTGAGGTTTTCATGGTGGTAGCAATGATGCATTTTCACACACATATTGCAATTCCACACCCAAGTTCATCTCCGTAGTAAATCAGTTTCCAGCAGTTATATATAAATGCCTAGTTCTGCAAGTTATAAAGGTCTAAGTCTAGTTAATCTTAGTCAACACACAAACACAGCTCTTCTTCTTGCTGAAGACAGAACCTTCAGATAAAAAGATCAATAGTATTGTGTACCCTTGGTCTAAACTTAGTTTATACAGCAACAACTAAATAACAAGGCATTTCTTGTGGATTAATGAGTGCTTGGAAGTGTTTTGTTTGAGGCTTTTAACCCTAGCTTGTAGGTAATTTTTCAGGAAAAGTACCATGCAGAGGTAAATAACAGCATTCAGTCTAGACTTAAGGCAATGCTATTTATTTAGTGCCATCAGTCTTGCTATGTGGCATGTGATACTCATAATGGTTGAACTGATTCAGAAAAAAAAATGTAATTAAAAAGTAGTAGTGAATTCAGGCTCTTTTAGATTTCAATTCTGGCCATGTGTACTAACCTTGGTGTTCATTTACTGCCACAATCAAAACTTATCACCAGACCATCAAGAAAAAATGACTGTTTGCTCTTTGCTTTTGCTCATCTAGCCAATTTTTGATTCATAATAGTTTGTCTCTCATAGACGATGACTTAAGAAAATGTATAGCATGTCATAAAGATCCCTGTCAAAGATATTTTGAAAACTATTTTAACCTACTTACCTTCATCCGCTACTCTAGTGACACATCTCAAGAAACACAGGAGATAGACTGGTGAAACAATTTTCCTTTGCAAAAATGTTGCCAATCAGCTCATAAGCACCATAGAAGCTCTCTATATTCACCTACCCTAAAATACATATTTTACAGAAGCATTAAATATACCTTTTTTCAGCTGGAAGCAGGGGCAACACAAAGTGAACAGCAAGCTTTCCAAGACCTGTT